AAGCAGTTGATGAATAGGAACTGCCAGGTTGAAATCTGGGGGAAAGCAGAAACTTAGAGCTGGGAAATACTTCCTTTATTTTTCTGGTGTTTATTTTATTTATTTATTTATTTATTTATTTATTTTTGCAGGGAGATACTTTCATCCTTATCAGGGCATATTTGCCGATAAGAAATTTTTTTTCTTCAGTCATACATAGACACAATATCTTTATTTTGTTTGTTTTTATGTGGTGCTGAGGATTGAACCCAGTGCTCACTTGTGTGAGGCAAGTGCTCTGCCACTGAGCCACACAAACCCAGCCCATGAGAGACTTTTAAAATTGATTTCAACAGCCTCACTGGTAAGGGTGGAACAGAAATTAAAGCCCTGGATCCACATAAGTAGGGAGAATATAAAGGTCTTCACATTATTCTAGGCTCCTAAGAGCCAAAACCTGAAAAATAAGAGGAAGCAGAATGAAGCCTCATTCCACTCTGGAACCCGTCTCCCCAGGGATAGCTGCCTTGGCATGTCAATCCTAGGTGAGGTGTGGGAGGGGGCTGCCTGAGAAGTCCTATCCACAAGCTTAGTCCTACGTGCAAAACCACAACCCAGATTCACATCAACTGGGTGATAAAAAAAAAAAATGTTAAATTTAACTGGTCCCAGAGTAGGAGAGCTGCCAGGCACAAGGCAGAACTACTCCAAGTAACTCATTCTCCCTGAAAAAAGGCAATTCATCCTAAGCCTCAAAAGAAGATTTGCAAGTAATTTTTCATCAGTAATGACAAATACCCAAAAATAATCAAGCACAGAAGAACTGATCAATAAAAGGGGAGAGTGAGAAATGTAATAAAAATATAGATCCTGAGAACAAATTTATTGCTTTAAGAATTCTGTAGCCATTTATTCAACAAATATTTATTGCACACCTACTCTATGCCAGGCTCTTTGGCAGATGCTGAACATATATGCTGTGCTAACAGTCATATGAACAGATGAACAGAACATATGAACAGATCTTCCAGGGTCTAAAAGGTCAATTAAGTCACCATTACATTGATGCTTATTTATCTTTACTTTCTGAGTTCTCCTAACACAAAGACTAATGTATGCCCATTACTATTTAGTGATAGATCTTGAGATAAACAGTAATCTCTTAGGACTGAGACTGACATCATTGACTCTTTTCTCAGATTCTCATTCCTTAAAGGCTCCATGGTGGAGTTAAGCCTAATTATACCCTATGCAAACCATGGAGTGACATGTATTAACAGAAAAGTGACAAAGACAAAGAAAACTATATCAAAGAGATATAAAGCTCAACGTTAACCATATTTATCTTTACAGTAAAGTCCAAACAGATGGTCTATTATTGGGAATAACAGCATTAACTGGATAACATTGATTTTAAGGTAGATGTGGAAACAGCTGAAGGGACAGGAAGGGTGGAGGGAAGTTAGATCAATATTTACTTATATGCAGATTGCCTTTCTTGACCAAAGTTGCTGCCAAAAACGTGCTAATACAGTATTTGGGTTACTTAGTTGTGTATACACTAATAATCAATCTTCTATTCAAGCTTTCACAACAAGGATTCAAACTGTCACGTCTATACTTCTGCATTTGTTTTCCCGTATTAAATATTTAGATGGTTGTCATTTACTGAGCCTTCAGAACAGTATAACCTGTGCTTGCTTGCTTTCTCTCTCTTTCTTTAATGATGTGTGCTTTCTTCCTGGGTATGCTAAACCACAACAGTACAGTGTAATAATGATCAAAATCATTCTTGTCCCATTTCACAGATGAGGAAACAATAGGCCAGACAGGTTACAACCAGAAACAGAGGTATAGAAGGGGCAGCAACAGGAGTGTCGATATTGGACAGGCCTGAATTTAAATCGTGTCTATATCCCTGGTGTTGCTCCTCCCCTGGAGATAATACTCAGTTTTCTGAGGTGAACTTCAGTGTGTATGAGTCAACGGCTCTAGAAAGTCTTGGTTCCTCATCTAGAAACTCATGTCTTGTCCTAAGTAGTGTTTTCAAATGGTTTTAAAAGTCGCTATTTTTTGGAAAATAATGCAGCATCATACAGAATTTTAAAAGTAATGAAAATGTAGATAAACCTTTATAAAGAGCCTTATTATTATTATGTTTTCAGTGCTGGAGATTGAACCCAGAGATGTTCAACCATTGTACTACATTCCCAGCCCTTTAAAAATATATATGCAAGTGTGTGTGTGTGTGTGTGTGCGTGTGTGTATAAATAAGAATTAAGTATTATATGAAGATTATATATACAAAACTTGAGACAGTGTATACTATGTTGCTCAGGCTGGCCTCAAATCTGTGATCCTCCTGTTTTAGCCTCCCAAGAAGCTGGAATTACAGGCATGCACCACCGAGGCTGGTAGCCCTATGGTTTTTAATATTCTTCATTCATTCCTAAAACTGACTTGTTTGATCCTTTAGAAAATAACATAATATTTCAATTGATGTTTTTTTGGTTGGGTTTTCCCAGAACATTATTACACTGTCTGTGGGCTTAAAAAATGCTTATTGGAAATGATACACGGAGAAAGGACCAGCTATACACTTTAAAATGGTAAATTTTACATCAAGTACATTTTGTCACAATAAAAAAGTTTTCTCCTTTTCAAATGAAAAGAGGTGGAAGAGGACAAAGGCCCAGATCTCTGCCTTCCCCTCATTCCAGACCCCTGGAGGCAGCCTGCCTTTTGTTCTCCTGAGTATATGTGTGTGTGTGTGCAAAGGATGGGTTCGGAGGGTGGCCAGGGTTGGAGGGAATCAAGGTTAGAAAGGAGGGATGTGATTGGCCACTGTTTCTTTGCTTTTCATGGTAAGATGGCTCACACAGAAGGAATATATTACCTTCCTCTATAAAAACAACACTTTTTCTTTTTTTTTAAGCGTATGTGAAAATCATCCTACATGCTTTCATTTAACCTGAAACTATTTACTCTTCCTACAGTGCTCTGAACTGAAAGGCTACATTCATTCAGAGAGTAGACAAAAAAGAAAAATATGGTAAAGATGTTTTGTTTTGACAAAAATCTGCTAATACAGTTTGGGGTTGGTCTGGTGCATGTGTACTAATTATCAACCTATGTCATACTTAAGTTTTCACCATAAGGACTCAAAGGGTCATCACCTGGCACACGGGAGGGTCTCCAAACTTTAGAAGTTACCACAGCGACTGCTGTGTGAATTGACCCTCCTCTACTCATAATGCAGGAAACAATTTAAGAGCAACTACAAATCACTGAAAAGATCAGCCCAGCCCCACTCCTAGGCTGGCTTCTGAGCTAAGCAAGAGTTACTTCTCGAATAATTCATTAGTTCAGAGGCCTTGCATGTGGCTCTGAGCTAAAACACATTCTGAGTTAACATTTAAAGTTTGAGAGATTCCATGTGTATTTGCACATGGGCTTGCTGTAAATAGTACCAATAGTACCCATCTGGCCCTTTTTGGGAACTTGGATTGGTAACTGAATTATAACTGTTTTTAGGTTAAATAAAAATTCAGAAGTCCTGTTTCAGTTAGGTATTTCAGGTGTTAATGTAATCCTACAGCCCCCACAAAAAACAGAAGGTTCAAAATGTGTAAATAGAAAAACCAAACCCCATTCCTCAATTTTCTCACTTGTAACTGTGCAGAGTCCCCAGGATGGATTTGTAAAACCCCTGTCCTCAACTGTCCACTTCTACAAGCTTTTGCTAACTGGAGGCATGAAGAAGAGAGAACCCTCATCCCTTTCTGACTCATGCTTGATGAAGCCCCACATTGGGACTAGAAGGCATTCTTGATGTAAGCAGGGAGGCAAGAATAAAAACCCCATTATAGAATAAGTAATTGCTACAGCAGCTTGTCACTTAGATGTCACCCCTTAGAATCTTACAGAAATTAACCATATAAAATAGGAAAACAGGTAATCATCACTTAATATTTTACAAGAAAATTATGATACCAAGAGTCTCTCTCGCCTTTAAAAATCACTCCTTTAAGAGGCAGCTGAACCCCAACTATTGCCCCACCCAAAACGAATGCCACCTTCCTCTGGGGCCAGTGTGGTTCCCTGAGGCCGTAGAGTCCCCACCCTTTTCCCTTGCTGCTCAAGTCACACTTCTAGTACCTGCATGGTCCCTCCACTCTCCTTCCCCCTGCAATTTTTTTCACATCCTGTCCAGCCCACCATAAGTACTGTACACCTCAAAGATATTTCAGCATTGTATAAGAAAAATGGTAAACATTTATTAAACACCTGCAAGGTGCCAAGCATACGTTTAACTCTTTGAGAGAGGACTACCTATTTAGTGGTCACCACAATCATCTGAGGCTTGCAGTGGTGTGGTTAAAGATGAATGTCCACAGCCAGACTGCTGGGCAGGATTTTAATCAAGGCTTGTAGACCACATCTGGGGTCACCCAAATGCTGTCCTTCCAACTCTTAAGAGTCTATGATTATTGCTGTCATTTTCCCCACCTTTATTGGGGTATAACTGACAGAAGTGCTGCTATTTTTAAGGATGCAAAATTTGTAAGAGTCTGTGTTACTACATAGGAAAGGAACGTTTTTTCTCTTTAATAAGCCTTCATATTTCGCAATGAAAAGGAAGAGCCCAGACTGATTCGGGAGAAAACTGCACCCCCCCCTCTCAGAAAAGTCCTCTTATCTTGCTCCACCAAACCGAGGTGCTAATTCTCAATACTAAACTTGTCAACAGGGAACCGAAGCATGCTAGAGGGTTAAGTCCTGACTGTATATAAGTGCAATTTCCTGCAGTTAGCCTAGATAATTGCAGTTTCTTCTATGAAAGTCTGTCATTAAAGTCCACTCCAAGAGAGTTCCATGGTTAAAACCTCAGTGACTGTCGCTGACGTGTGCTCAGCGATCAGACCTGGCAGAACCGGAGTCAGCTCAGCCCACCACCCACTCTGCTGGCGCAGAGGTCCCATGGAAGAAAAGGCGGGTCCCAGAGCGCTGTAAGGGTTAGAAAGGGAATTTCCTATCTTTGGTGCTATCTAGATCCAGACCCACTCTGCAAACTCGGGGCGTCTCTCTCAGGCGCAATCACCCACGAGCGCGGTTCTGAGAGGCGCAGCGAGGAAAGGAGCTGTCGGATGAGGACTGCTCCGGGAGTCCCGGACCCCGCCTCGCCCTCCTGCTTTTCCTCCTCCGCGCCTTTCTCTTCCTCCTCCTCTTCCCGGCGCCCGAGCCTCCGCGCTGCGGTGGCTGCCTCCTCCGGGTAGGGAGGGACCCCAGTGCCCGGGGGTGGGCGCCGCACGGTAGGAGGGGGCGGGGAGGCAAGAGACTGGAAGCCTACCGTCCTCTGTTTCTTGACCCCAGACATTCTGGCTGGCGGTGGCGGAGCCCGGGTTCTGGGACCAGAGACCGAAGGTCGCACGGATGGCGGCGGTGATGGTGGCGGCGGCTGCTCGACTCCCGGGAAGGAGGTATAAAAAGGCTCCGAAGACACGTCGCACTTCCCTTGACCAGCCCCCTTCTCCTCCTCCCGCCGCCCTCCTCTCCGCCCCGTAGGCTCCGCCAGCAGCGCCCAGCCCCGGGGACCCGGCGAGCTGCCTGGGCGGGGTCCCGGGCCCGGCCCCCGACTCGCGGGCGCGCGCTCTGCCAGCCCAGGTCCGAGGCCAGATGTTGCAATCCGAGCTGTCGACGGGCACTCCCCGCGCGCAACCCCGGGTCCAGTTCGTCCTCGCCCCCAGCACACCTAGAGGGTTCCAGGGCGTCCTCCACCTCTGGCTCCATCCAGGCCTTCTGGACCCAAGAATTTATTCGGATAAGGACAGGGATGCTTGAAGTCTCAGGGAGGCACGCCGGCACGGTCCTCACAGGGCCCTGAGGTGCAATTTGTCTTCACATACATCACTTAAAAGTCGTTGTAGATGGAGAGGTCCTTACTCGGCACTCCCCTGAGCTTTGCTGTAGTCCTCAAGTCCCCCCAACCCCGAACCCTTCCCCATCCTGGCCCTGCCCGAGGCAGCAAGTCCTACTTTCTCTCTATTGTACAAATGAGTCAATCAAAACGTTCAGATTTTGCCAAGATGATATTCCAAGCGAGAGGATTCAAACCAGGCTGTCAAGCCCCCACCGTGCAGACTTTGTACACCAGCTGCACCAAGCAAGATGATTAGAAAATCCGCGAGGTTCCAGGACCACTTGTGCACTCTACACCAGGCACCATGCTAAGGGTTTTACATATATTTATTCCATTTAAGCTCACAATACTATCCTCACAGTGCGGACTGGCCAGCAGAGGCACGACCCCGCCTCACAAATTTAGGTAAACTAGTCCAGCTCCAGGCAATAGCCAATGGTAGTTCAGAGACTTGTTTCAGTACATCCCCCAACTAGGATGCGCTCCGTAAAGGAGAAAAAGGCACAAAGTGAGAAGGCTCCTGGCCCCAAGGTTTTTTCAGAGATCAGTGAGAAGCAACTCTGAAGAGACCCAAATGTCAGGTAGGAGCAGAGGGGAGGAAGAGAAACTGCCCCAAGCAGCTTAGTTTCATATTAAACTCCTTGCATGGTGCCACGAATAGATTAACATGACAGTGCCCTCAAAAGAACCAAGAAGACACACAAGAGTCACAATCATTCTAACTCTGATCTGCTTTCTGTGAAAGAACTGGAGAAGTTATACTCTAAGGAAATGGAAGATGGAAGTTTCCCTTTATACCTAATTGTATTTCTGAATACTGCCAAGTTTCCAGACAGCATCTGAAGATCTGAGTATTCACTGACTTCCTTTCTCCATGGGAAGGTGGAAAAAAATAAATTTGAGTCAAAAATCTTAAAAGGCACCCTGCCTGTCTGTAGTCTTGAGATGTCAGCTTACTTATTTTATTCATTTTGAGTAAACTGCCACCACTCCCTTCAAATGCAAGCATCTAGGAGGCAAATGCCGATTTTTGAGTTTCTGTGCTGCACACAAACTAGATCATTTTGAATTTATCTGAGGTTTAAACAGCAATATCCTGTTTTTATTTCCCTGGAAAATCCATTTGTATTAGTTCCAGTCATATCCTGGACCTTGTCAAGTTCTGTCCTAAAGAGAAGGTAAGTTAAGTGTAGATTGAGAAACCATGCAATTTGAATGATTACTGTGTTTTAGTTCATATTGCATCTAAAAAAAAAAAAAGAGCTGTGTTCTTGAAACAGAAAGAAGTTAAGGGTAAATCCCTAAGGGCTACTTCCTGGAAAAGAAATACATAATTATTATGACCTGGGAAAGATTTTTAGATCCCATGTAAAACTTGTTTTCCGGGAAGGAAGATAATTTGACCAGATCACTAGTTAGGCAAGGCAGGGCCGAGACTCAAACCCAGGTCAGCAGGCTCCTCAAATGATATGACCACTGAATTACTCATCTTCTAGGTCAACTATTTCAGGACCCCATGATAACTGTAAGCCAGAATGTTTATCTTGTTTTCAATTTAGTTAGTTTTCAAATAATACTTTGGAAAACTTTTTCTTTCTTTTTAAAAAACTATTCCAAAGGCATGTGAAATTGGAGGACTTAGCCGTCTTGTATTTGGGCTGTGTTCTTTATGACCCTTCAGTGTCACAGTTTAGTCATAATTCAGCATGGCAACTTCCTAAAAAGTTGAAAAAATAAAGAAATAAAACCCTTACTTTCCTAGGGTCTTTCTTCCCAAAGGCAATGTCTTGAATTCTTTTTCATCTGTCCTCTTGATCCTATGAGAAAGCCTTCCTGCTGAACAGATATGAGCAACTAGAGAAGCCTAATTTAGGGAGTTTATGACTCTGGCACACAAGAAGTGGAGAAGATTTATTCAGGAAATGGGAGGAAGGGTCAAGGTTTGTTCATTCAAATGGACACGTTCTCCATAGCTTCCTCATTAATGTTTCCTCCAAGACTCCCCTGTAAAACACGGTAGACTGCATTATACCAATATATATAATCCTTGATATTACTCACAACACTCACATGAGGGCTGGGCTTTCTCCTTATTTCTTCTTTCCTGAAACTGGTTGGGCTTGAGTACGTTAATAAAGTGGTGCTTACCAGTTGATCCTTTTATTGTTTAGAGGAGTTGGAATTGGCCAACAGAGGAAACATATATAAAGAATGTTACTGTTGGTGAGATATCTGTGACACAGGTTCCTAAGCCTTTTAGAAGGTCTCATCCCATTTTAGTGGATCCAGCAAGGAAGAACCTCCCCTGGATGATCATCACAAAGGAATGCAGCTATATTCCCCCCTAGTGGCTGTAATGCTCAAATGCTAAAGGAGACCTAAATGTTGAAACTCCCTGTTACAAAACGTGCAGCATTCCACTGGGTAAGAATGCACTTAGTGAAAGTCCTCTCAGCACAAGCATTATGTAACAAATAAGAGCAAGCCATGGTCCCTGTCTTCAAGAAACTCACAATCTATTTGAAGGAAACAGACTCCCCCTAACCTCGTAATTTTAATATAATGGATAATTGGCAAAGGTAAAAATGATAAATGCATGCCTTAGACATTTTATTTTGACATATCACATATATACACTTTACTAATATTTTGATATGGCTTCTATCATGGTATGGGTCTACTGATGGGAGTTCCACAACCCACTTTCATTAGCTAGCTTTATCCATTTTCCAGCTGGGAATTTTAAAAAGTTAGACATTAAGGGCACTTAAGAAACAATCAGAGAAACAACTATCTTGATTCCTTCAAGATCACTACTTTCCTTATTCCATCTTTGTTGTCATGCCTGTGACTAATCCAACAGTACAATTTTGAGAAGTTTATCTTTCTAAAACATCTATCTGTTTTTATAGAAAATACAACTCTTTTACCACTCACATGTTATTCATTTAAGTTACATCTAATTCAGTTCCTTACTACACTAACAAGTAGTGGGGCATACATACATTAAAGAACAAACAATGGATGTCAGCAAGCATCCCGCTTAGGTGCTGAAGGGTGTAGACTTTACAGTGCATCCTGCTGTTGAAGGACATTCAATTTGTTGTGGACCTTCATGATTTCTTTTTTCTTTTTATCTTTTCTTTCTTTCTTTCTTTCTTTCTTTCTTTCTTTCTTTCTTTCTTTCTTTCCTTTCCCTTCCTTCCTTCCTTCCTTCCTTCCTTTCTTTCCTTCTTTCTTTTTCTAGAAGAAATGGAGAGTATAGATTAAACTGGCCAGTCAGCTACAAGAAAGGACACTGTGGGAGCAGTATGGAGGGACATCCAGTTCCATTTCAGGAGAAGGGAGAATGGAGACTGATGTCATGATTTTCTTGAAGAAGAGGATACATGAACTGAGACTAAAAACAGGTTTGCTAGCCCTTCCCTCTCCAAAGTGCATGGTGTGGAAATTTAAAAATTGAAAGGCAGAGAGATGAAAGAAATAATATGGCATGCTCAGAAAATTATAAGTATCTATATTGCTGATTTTAGGAGACAACAGAAGAGCAGGAAAGGTTGTAATAGAAGAGATGCCACAGACAATCATGCAACAGTGTGATTTTGCACGTTCTCTTCATGCCCATCAGAGTGTGTTAGCCATAAGACTGGTCCTCATTATAACTTGGGACACTTCTCAGATCCAAGACTAGAAATCATTGTTCTGAGGTGTTAACGGTTTGGTGAAGGAGATGGACATATAAACAAATAATTCCAAAGAAATGTCTTTTTTGTTTGTTTATTTGTTTTTGTTTGGGTACTAGGGATTGAACCCAGGGGCACTCAACCATTAAACCACATCCCCAGTCCTTTTTTGATTTTTATTTTTCATTTTGAGATAGTATCTTACTAAGTTGCTCAGGTCCTCACTAAATTGCTAGGGCTGGCTTTGAACTCACAATGCTCCTGCCTCATAGCTGCTGGGATTACAGGCATGCGCCAATGCACTCAGCTCAAAGAAATGTCTTAAATGCTGGAATGAATGGATATTCAGAGTCATAGGGAAAGTGCAAAACAAAAAAGTGGGAACAATGACTGCTGACTGACAGGAGATGCTATGGGTGGTGATATTTAACCTGAGTTTTCAAGGATAAAAGGAAACTAGATAGGAGCCCCCCTATTTACTGATGGCTAACACTGCCTGAGCTGTCTTCTGGCTGCACAAAGTATTTACTTCCCACCATGATGTTCCCTGGGTCTCTTTTTGAAGTACCCTAGCCTATCACTAAAGACAGGTAATGTCGAAAGAGAAAAACTAGTGACAACTGGAGATGACATTTGCATCAATGACCCTGTAACCAAAGTTTGCCCAGAGGGAAAGGTCTTCACTCCCAGCAAAAGGAAAACCTTTCTGCTATTTTTTAGGTGGAATGCTGTGCAAAGTTTTCAACTATTCCTTATATTTGTTTAAAAAGAAATCTACTTATTAGTGTACTCTTACATTCCACAAAATAGAAACTATTAGGGCATTTATGGAAATGCTCTCCAAATTTCAATGGATCTCAATGAAAACAACAATTACAAGCAAACCAATTAGTTCAGCTAATTAATTGACTGAATTTTTCATACTTCAACAGATTCTTTTAAAATATGTTTAGCAAAGTGGCAGAAAACTTAATCCACATTGTTTAAAAGTTTAAATCAGAGAAATAACCAAATTTAAATCATTAACTTAAATTATTTAACTGTTACTTTGTTTAAGTTATGGAAATATCCAATTTAAGTTTTAAGTTTAAACTTAGCTGAACTTTAAGAATCATATTTTAAAGAAATGAAGGAAGGAGCTGCATGTGGTGGCACATGCCAGAAATCCCAGAGGCTCGTGAGGCTGAGGAAGGAGAATTGGAAGTTCAAAGTCAGCCTCAGCAACTAGTGAGACCCTGTCTCTAAATGAAATATTAAAAGGGGTGGGGATGTGGCTGATGGTTAAGTGTCCCTGGGTTCAATCCCCAGTATCAAAATAAATAAATAAATAATTATTATAATAAAATAAAAAATATGGAAAAACAAATCAAAGTTATAATTAAACAGATGTGTCTTTAATTATGAAACGATATGGGTCTATATAGTAAGTGCTTTATTTTCCTTTTATTGATTTTTCATTTAGAAAAACATTCTGCTCTGGAAAGGAGGGAGTTCTTTGAAGCCCCAGAGGTTCTCAAACATTGTTGCACGAGAACCTGAGAAATGTGAAAAAATAAATCTATATTATCATTATTAGGGAATGTCATAGATACTGTAAGCAGACAGTTAATTTGCAAAGAATTAGAATGCTCTATAAAGAGCATAATTTAGTTTATTAGTGGGTTCCAAATCTTCTGGAGGGATTTTATAAATTTCGACAATCACATCTTAAAAAGATGAGCAGTGGAGCTGGGGATGTGGCTCGCCTGGCATGCGTTTGGCCCAGGTTCGATCCTCAGCACCACATACAAACAAGGATGTTGTGTCCGCCAAAAACTAAAAAATGAATATTGGAAAAAAAAATCTCTCTCTCACTCTCTCTCTCTCACTCTCTCTTTGAAGAAAAAAAAAAGATGAGCAGTAGAAAACCAATATAATCTCTGTTCCTCTCTTAGATAAAAATGTAAATGGTCCATAACTAGTAGGCCTTTGGCCTCCTAAAAGTATTGTAAGAGAGTTTATAGGAATCCTGTATATTTTCTGAATAAGTAATAGTTCAATTCATATTCACTTAAAATATTATTGAAGTCAATAGATCTTTATAATAATATTTTCAGTCATCAAATACTAAAAATCATCCACAATCATCATGTTGTATACCACAATCATCTAAGGAACCACATACCTGCCTAACTAAATCAAAATCTGGTGGTGGTGGTAAGGTCCTAGGCAACAGGCTTTTTAATTTTTTAAAAAAATTTTAATTCGTTATATTTAGTTATATATGACAGTAGAATGCATTTATGCACTTTGATATATCATACATAGATGGGATGTAATTTCTCATTTTTCTGAGTGTACATGTTGCAGAATCATATTGGTCATGTAGTCACAGGTATACATATAATAATAATGTCTGTTTCATTCTACTATCTTTCCTATCTCCACATCCCTTCCCCTCCCTTCACTTCCCTCTACCTAATTTAAGGTAATGCTATTCTTCCTTAGTGCTCCCCACTTTATTGTGAATTAGCATCTGCATATTAGAGAAAATATTTGGCCTTTGGTTTTGTGGAATTGGCTTATTTTGCTTAGCATGATATTCTCCAACTCCAACCATTTACTGGCAAATGCCATAATTTTATTCTTCTTTAAAGCTGAGTAATATTCCATTGAGTATATATACCGTATTTTATTTATCCATTTATCTATTGAGGAACTCCTAGGTTGGTTCCATAGTCTAGCTATTGTGAATTGAGCTGCTATAAACATTAATGTGACTGCGTCACTATGTATGCTGATTTTAAGTCTTTTGGGTAAAAACCAAAGAGTGGGATAGCTGGGTCAAATGGTAGTTCCATTCCCAATTTTCTGAAGAATCTCCATACTGCTTTTCCAAGTGGTTGCACCAATTTGCAGCCCCACCAGCAGTGTATGAGTGTACCGTTTTCACCACATCCTCACCAACACTTATTGTTTCCTGTAAACTTATCTTTAATTCTCAAATGTTTGGCAGGATCAAATGGCCTGGAGGGCTTGTTGAAACTAAAGATTGCTGTCTGTCCCTGACCATCCAAGTTTCTCATCCAGCAGGTGGAAAGTGGGCTACACAATCTGCATTTCTAACAAACTCCCTGGTGATACCCATGTTGTCCAGAGATAACACTCTGCCTTAGATATAGGTCCTCCAACTCATCCATGCCTTCTCATGTTCTATAGTAAATATAGAAAATAAGTACAAAGAGAAGAAATGTGTATATTGACGAGATAATCTTGGATGTATTCTAAAAATTCAAAATCTAATAGAATAAATGGGAAAGGAAACAGACCAACAATACTTAGCTTTGACTTGTCACTACAGCCATCTGGGAAGCTGTAAAATAGAAATCTGCTGTCTGGACTTCCTTCCACCATACCATTCTAGAGATGTCTGCTGGGGGTGGAGGGGCCTGCAGCAGAATATGTTACTGCCTCAGGTGATTCTGCTGTGCAGCCAGGTGGGGAGACACCAAGCCAGCCCACTGGTTGGCCAACTTCAGCACGCACAGAAATCCCCTGGAATGCTTGTAAAACACACATTCCTGAGTCTCACCCTAAAATTCCTCCACAAGGTCACTTATCTCTAATTTTAGTGGAGGGCTTTTCATTAGGCTGGCTTGCTTTTTCTCCCAATGTTTTGTTTAGTCTGAGCTCTTTCTTTTCTTCTCTCTCTCTTTTGTGTGTGTGTGTGTGTGTGTGTGTGTACACCAGAGATTGAGTCCATGGGCGCTTAAGCACTGAGCCACATCCCCAGTCCTTTGCCCTTTTTTTGTATTTTATTTAGAGACAGGGTCTTTCTTAGGGCCTCCCTAAGTTGCTGATGCTGGCTTTGAGCTTTCGATCCTCCAGCCCCAGCCTCCTGAGCCGCTGGGATTACAGGTGTGTGCCCCCATGCCTGGCTCTGAGTTCTTTCTTTAAGGGCTTCTATCTTTTGGACACCAAAATCAGAAGACTTTGATTATAGTTTCTACTTTCAATCCTGAGTCAGAATGGTCTTGGTTGAATGGCGAAGAGTACAGGATATGAAAACATTAGGTGTAGAAATCAGCCAATGTTTAAAAAAAATACTGCCACGCCACTCTCCTTCTTCTAATAATTAGTCATTCTATTGGTTTGTGGTGCTTCCTCTATTATGTAATGTAGCTGGCAGAGGCCACCACTAACAATCCTTGAGTCACACTACCAAATCCTTATCACTACTTAACACGGAACCCATGTGAGAAGCAGCTCAGTTTTAAAATCTGAAACTGTTTTTTGCCTGTTTTCCCTTCCAGGAGAATTATCAAATTATTTTATTAAGCTCCCTTCCCTGCTCCCTAAAATTGTGTAGGGTTTCTGAAAGTGTTCATAAGTAAATAAATAAAATAAACATGGAATTTGGGAAGAACTGATACAGAGATTAAGTTTCCTCTCTGTCACAGGGTCTCTCTCTTCAGTTTTCTCATACTCACATTCAAGTAATTCCTAGGACTTATAAATGGATTTCCTACCCTACTACTTTCATTCTTATTTTGGAGCAATGCTATGGGTTTGGGGATATTGTCTGATACTCAGTTACTTTGTTAAACTTTATTGATTAATAAAATAATAAAACTATATTTCCTTTTTTCGGTACTGGGAATTGAACCCAAGGGCACTCAACCACTGAGCCACATCCCCAGCCCTTTTTTGGTGTGTGTTTTATTTAGAGACAAGGTCTCACTGAGTGGCTTAGTGCCTCATTAAGTTGCTGAGGTTGGCTTTTTTGTAAACATTTATTTTTAGTTGTAGGTGGACCTAATACCTTTATTTTAATTTTATTTGGTGCTGAGGTTCAAACCCAATGCCTCACGCCTGCTAGGCAATCACTGTACCACAGAGCCCCAGTCCAGCCCTGAGGCTGACTTTTGAACTCGCAGTCCTCCTACCTCCGCCTCCTGAGCTGCTAGGTCCTTTTTTTCCTTACAAACATAATTTGCACCACACAATGAGAAAAAGTCACCCCGAGAGTGGAATCAGAGGCAGGTAGAATAGTGGGGCTGAGTTACTTCTACGAG